CACTTAGCATGTAACGTTTCACCACCTGACCCATTTGAGTTTTGTTCCGAGGATAAGACACTGGTAGATTCCTTGGGAGCAGCAAGCGTAGCTAGACTCTTGCCAGCTTCCTCTGTTCCCACTTTCTTGAGAGGGGCCATTTTATTTCCTTCCCCATCACAGCCAATTTCTTGGTCCTTTGGGTGTCTCGTCTCTTCTAGAGTTTCCCTTTGGAAGATCCTGTGCGCGCCTGCTTCCCTTCAGAAGCTGGCTATCTCTAACAGGCACTAAGCCAACTTCAATAAGGACTTGCTCCTGCCGCATCACCTCATTCCACATGCCTGACTTCTCCTTGGTACTCTCTTTTCGGGGAGAAGACCTTTTGGTGACTGGTTTCACTTGAAGAGGTGGCTCCATGACAGCAGGAGGCTCCTTCTGAACAGATCCCATGTGAGGAGGCCCTGTCTGAGCAACCTCCACCTGAGCATGGTCCAAAAGACAAAGCAGCTTCTTCTGACAATGTCCCCGCTGAGACTCCATGGGAGGAGGCGGCTCCATCTGATCAGGCTCCATGGGAGGAGTGGGCTCCATCTGATCAGGCTCCATGGGAGGAGTGGGCTCCATCTGATCAGGCTCCATGGGAGGAGGAGGCTCCATCTGATCAGGCTCCATGGGAGGAGGCTGCTCTGTCTTTGGAGGCTCCGTGGGAGGAGGCAGCTCCCTCTGAGGAAGCTCCAGGGGAGAAGGCAGCTCCCTCTGAGCAGGCGCCAGGGGAGGAGGCGGCTCCCTCTGAGGAGGCTCCAGGGGAGAAGGCAGCTCCATCTGAGCAGGCCCAGTCTGAGCAATATCCATGGGAGAAGGAAGCCCGGGCTGAGTAGCGCCTGTAGGGGTGACCACCACCTGAGTGAGCGCAGGACCGGAAGAGACCTCCTCCTGAGCCAGCTCCATGGAAGGAGGCTCTGCCGGAGCCATCTCCTTCTGCGTCTCCTGAGCAGGTCTGCTGCCTTTCTTACTTGATTTACCTTTTTGAGGTTTCTTCTTTGCACGTTTTTTAATGGAAGTATTTGCTTTTTTTTGTCCCCCTTAGTCTCCTTCATCTTGCTGTCATCCTTTGGCACCTCGGTACTATTTTTGGATTTGCTTTCCATCTTCTTTTTCTTTTTTGTCACTGGTTCCTTGTTCACAGGCTCATCTGACGAATGGGCTTCAGCATCCACCTTTCTTTTGTTCTTCTTGGCTTTACTGACTTTTTCTTTATTATTTCCTGTATGTACATCTATGTGTTTCATTTCTGCTGCCTTAGTCTCCGTTGTGGATTTCCGAGTTCTGTTAGTTACCTGGGCCACTGAGGCATTGCCACAAGACTTCTTCTCTTTTGAAACATCCTTTTTCTCTAGATATTAGGATGGCTACACCAGCTTGTTTCTTAGGTCCATTTGCTTGGAAAGCCTTTTCCCAGCCCTTTACTCGGAGGTAGTGTCT